TCGGAGGAGGCCTGTGGGGAGGGGACTGGAGCTGCTCCGCCTTCTTGCCAGCTTGGCCTGGTCACCCAGCTTCCTCTTCCTCCTCCCCCCAAGCACTCACCACCTGACCTTGAGGGCCTTCTCTCCCACGGTGGCTGCCATGGGGGATGGGGGCCCAGCTTTCACAAGCCTGCCTGCGGTGACCTTAGCCCAGGCTCCCACCCCCGGGGCCTGTGTCCCTGAGTGCCCCCCCTCCAGGGTCACTGAAGTTTCCCCAGAGCGACCTTTATAAAATTTCTGCTAGTGGGGAGAGGGAGGGGCTGGCCTGGGTGACACTCCTTCCGCCTTTCGTGACCCCATTGTGAGGGGTGGGTAGTCACCCCTCCCCCTCCTCTTTCTGGCCTTTGTTCTCTGCCCCAAAAGGGGAGGGGAGGGGCGGGGTGGGGGCAACCAGGCATCCAGCGAGGCCAACACAGGATGTTAGGAAAATATTTAGTAAGCAGCCTGGAGGAAGATGAGGAGGGAGGCCTGGGCTGGCCCACACTCAGGTTCCCGGTTTTGTTGCAGCCTTTCCTCTCTCCTTTTCTCATTTTTCTGGCGGCAGGGGCCTCCTCTCCAGGAGGGTGACACAGGCTCAGCTATCCGCCTGCTGCCAGGGTGGGGGAAGCAGGCTGCTGCCCTCCCCTAGAGGGGGTGGGCAGGTTCTAGGCCTCCCTGTCTGGGCTGGCCAGCCGCAGGAAACCTGCTCAGCCGCTTCCCTTCCTCCTGCCTGAGGCCCTCGCCCCCTCCCCGACATGTAGCATCCTGCCCTCACCAGCCGGCTAGTGTGGAAGAGGGGGGAGAGCAGTAGCTGGGTGGTCTGCCATCAGGAGGGGCAGCCAGGTGGGGAAGAACGGGAGTCCTGGGAGCCCCAGGGTGTCTCCTGATTTCCTGGGGCAGATGTGAACTGAGCTCCCTACTCTTGGGGGGGTGATGTGGTTGCCAGGGGGGCCCTCTGTGTTTGGTTCACATCCGCCCCGGGGTGCCTGCGAGGGAGATAGGGAGGGGGGCTGGGTGGATTGACTGGGCTCCCAGGGCTGCTCCCTGCCTGGCACCACATCATGCCTGCCCGGTTGCCCTCCCCAGGGAGGAAGTTGCGGGAGGGAGTGGGTGTGGGGGGGTGACCCAGCTGCTCTTGGGAGCTACCCCAGGCCCTTTCTGCAGGGGGCATTTCTGGGGGTGGGGGAGGGTCATGCAGACTGGGCTGGGAGGTGGGGGCTTCTCACTGCCTGCCTCCCTCGCCTCCTCCCCAAGGCCCCCAAGCAGAGAAGGTTACGCCAGCCGCTGCCAGGGGAGAGCTGGGAGGCGGTTGTTCTGAGTCATCCAGCCTCTGTCACTTCTCAGAAACCTCCCCCCCGCACCCACCCCAGCCCGGCCCCTGGGGACAGTTCTGTGCTAGCCAGGCCCCACTGCAGACGGGTCAGAGGCACCTCACACCCTCGGTGAAGGGGGACCCCAATTGGAAGGTTCATGTTTGCATGGGCTGTGTTCAGGCCCTGCGGGACCCTGGCTCCAGGGAACCAGTCAGGGCCCCTTCCCACAGTGACGCCTCTCTCTCAGCCTCCGCCCCGCCCAGGACAGATAAATATTTATCTTGAGAAAGCAAAGGTTAGGATGAAGAATTTGTCCGGCAATTCCACCCACTTGCTGCCCACCCCTGTGGCTTAACTGGGAGGGGGCCTGAGATAGGTCTCTCATAATCATAGGCAGAGAAGATCTGGGGGTTTGAGAGGGTGGGGAAAGGTACAAGGTGAGGGTTATTTGAGGGCAGTGACCTCTGGCTAGGCCCCGCCCCCTCTGGCCTCAGTTTCCCCTTAAAAGAACCAAGCTGGCCAAGGAGGGCCAGGCCCCCCTGTCTGACCTGCCTCTGTCCCCCACAGCCCCCAGCGGCGCCCGGGCCGGGCCGGGCTGGCGGAGGCGGCTTCCGGAAATACCGATTCATTTTATTTAAGCATCCGTGGCACCGACAGGGACCCCAGAGCCCAGAGAGGGGCGGCGAGAGGCCCCAGGTCACACAGCGTGGGGGGGCCGGGCCGGGACGGGCTGGGCGCCTAGGGCTGGGACCCTGGGGTTGACGGGCCACTCTCTGCAGGTCAGTGACTTCTTGTCAGGCCGCTCACCGCTGACCTTGGCTCTTCGAGTGGGTGACCACATGATGTTCGTCCAGCTTCAACTTGCGGCCCAGCACGCCCCACTACAGCACCGCCATGTGCTGGCAGCTGCAACCGCTGCCACCCGTGGGGACCCCAGCATGACCACTCCTGTGTCCTCTCCCTGCCGGCCAGTGTCCAGTACTGTCCGTGTCCCCCCAGTGCCCACCAGCCCTGCACCTGCATCCCCCTCACCTGTAACGGCCGGCTCCTTCCGTTCCCACTCAGCCCCCACCACCTGCCCCGAGGTGAGTCTGGGGAAGGGCTTATCCTTTAAACCCAAGGGTGGGCTGTTTGGAGGGGGTGGGGAAGGGACTCAGAGCCCCTACTGCATGTTCAAAGGCCATCGCTGGATCCTGGGCTGGTGGGTGGTCCGGACCCTGAAACCC